CCCCCCCCCTTCCCCCTTTTACCCGGATTTGCAATATTATTAAATGTTTGCGCTGAATCAAACAAAAATGTCGATATGGATACGACAAAAGTTCTTCCTTCTTTCATTCGTTTGCTCAATACACAGGCACTTGTTTTGGAAATAAATTTTTAACCTAAAGTATAATTTTAATAAAACAAGGTATCTAACTCCGAATTATACGGAATACCCCAGACCTCAGAAACGCACTCATTTGCACTTTCAGAATAAATGCACTGGCAAACTTTTTATTACCATTGTCTTCTACGATAATTTATCTACACAACCATATATGGCATGCATGTCTTGCTTTTCATTTAGCTCCGTAAACAGCGTCGAAACTCTGCCCGCCGAGTGGAAAGTCGAACTCAACCACGAAACGGTATGTTCTAATCTCGGACAAAGAGCAAAATTTAAAAAATGAGCGAGTTAAAAATTCATTTCCAGATTTAAAATATTGCACCAGAGCTGTGGAAATTTTTTCCCGAAAGCCGTCATTCGGACAGACATGTACACAAACTTTGCCTGTCCGAATGAAATTAAGCCTGTCCGAATGTTAACAATCAAATATTTATTAAAAAATGAATTAAAACACAAACTGCATGTTTTAAAAGTGTATTCAATTGTAACAGTTTTCAATAATTAAGCATTTTCATACTCTAATTCTAGCTCTCTCACAACCTCTCTCATCATTCTGTCATTTTCATCCAAATCTTGCTCACACTCGAACTCACACTTTCTTGATCAGTACCCACTCTCTCATCTTCTGCACCCACTCTCTCGTCTTCAATTCTTTCATCACTTTCTCTCTGACTCTCTTTCTCTTCTTCACTTTCACTCTCAATCTCTATTTCATTCGAAATGGACTTCTTTGTAGGGTTTCTTCTATAGTGAAACCTTCTCCTTTGTCTAGCCCTACCCCACTGATCATAATTTTGACATTTTGAAATCTACACTACCCTAAGATCCTTCCATGTGCACATAAGTTTAAGCTTTTCTGGCCTAGTGGTTCTTGAGAAGAAGATTTTCAAAGATTTTTCCTATATATTTCTATGTAAAACTTTAATTCCCAATTGTGGTCCCACCCTTCCCAGGGGGGTCATGATTTGAACAATTTAGAATCTACACTACCCCAGAATGCTTCCACATAAGTTTCACCTTTTCTGGCCCTGTGGTTCTTGAGAAGAAGATTTTCAAAGATTTTTTTTAAATATATATTTTTATGTAAAACTTTGATTCCCCATTGTGGCCCCGCCCTTCCCCCGGGGGTCATGATTTTAACAATTTAGAATCTACACTACCCTAGGATGCTTCCACGTAAGTTTCAGCTTTTCTGGCCCAGTGGTGCTTGAGAAGAAGATTTTCAAAGATTTTTCCTATATATTTCTATGTAAAACTTTGATTCCCCATTGTGGCCCCGCCCTTCATCCGGGTGTCATGATTTGGACAATTTAGAATCTACACTATACCAGGATGCTTGCACTTAAGTTTCAGCTTTTCTGGCCCTGTGGTTCTTGAGAAGAAGATTTTCAAAGATTTTTCCTATATATTTCTATGTAAAACTTTAATTCCCAATTGTGGTCCCACCCTTCCCAGGGGGGTCATGATTTGAACAATTTAGAATCTACACTACCCCAGAATGCTTCCACATAAGTTTCACCTTTTCTGGCCCTGTGGTTCTTGAGAAGAAGATTTTCAAAGATTTTTTTTAAATATATATTTTTATGTAAAACTTTGATTCCCCATTGTGGCCCCGCCCTTCCCCCGGGGGTCATGATTTGAACAATTTAGAATCTACACTACCCTAGGATGCTTCCACGTAAGTTTCAGCTTTTCTGGCCCAGTGGTGCTTGAGAAGAAGATTTTCAAAGATTTTTCCTATATATTTCTATGTAAAACTTTGATTCCCCATTGTGGCCCCGCCCTTCATCCGGGTGTCATGATTTGGACAATTTAGAATCTACACTATACCAGGATGCTTGCACTTAAGTTTCAGCTTTTCTGGCCCTGTGGTTCTTGAGAAGAAGATTTTCAAAGATTTTTCCTATATATTTCTATGTAAAACTTTAATTCCCAATTGTGGCCCCACCCTTCCAAGGGGGGTCATGATTTGAACAATTTAGAATCTACACTAACCTAGGATGCTTCCACATAAGTTTCAGCTTTTCTGTAAAACTTTTATTTATGTAAAACTTTGATTCCCCATTGTGGTCCAGCCCTTCCCCCGGGGGTCATGATTTGAACAATGTAGAATCTACACTACCCCAGGATGCTTCCACATAAGTTTCAGCTTTTCTGACCCAGTGGTTCTTGAGAAGAAGATTTTTTAATTACCCCACCCTATTTTTGTCTTTTCTTGATTATCTCCCCTTGTGAGAGGAATTGGCCCTTTATTTTAATAATTTAAATTTCCCTTTACCCAAGGATGCTTTGTACCAAGTTTGGTTAAAATTGGCCCAGTGGTTCTTGAGAAGAAGTCAAAAATGCGAAAAGTTTACAGACGGACGGACGACGGACAAATTGTGATCAGAAAAGCTCACTTGAGCCTTCGGCTCAGGTGAGCTAAAAAGTTTGAGTTTTTTACAATCTCCACAACTTCACATTTCACTGTTTCTGAAATCGACTCCAGAAAGGCAGTGGCCGCCCAACGATTATTGTACGTAGTTCCGTGTTCTAGCCCTTTTCTGACATCGAGAGAGTTGATCCAAGTAAAGTCTGATATTGGTCTATTCATTTTTATTAGAGCATGTATTATATTATATTTTTTTTATATATTTTAGTAGATGCATTTTAATTCTGATGGTTATAGACTTTTGCAATTTGAGCTTTTGCAAAGATTTTGGATGATTTAATGCAAATCGGTGTGACCGACCGATTTAGGGCCCTGAACTTCATAAGGTCCATTGCTCGAAGTCCCGGTAAGAGGTTGCTTAGGAAGCCAAAGGGTTTACTTGTAATTCTAATGGTTATAGAATTTTGCAATGTGAGCTTTTAAAATACATGTACCGTATAAGTGGAAATTTTAGCGAGACGCAAATTTAGCGATTTGTCCTTAAAATTGGGTATTTCATTTTTGACGAGAAGTATAATTAGCGATTTGGAAATGCTCACTTAAGAAACTATTACAGCTAAAACACAATTAATTTTTAGCGATATTTAATTTTAGCGATCTCGGAACCCTCGCTAATAATGCCAAAATTAAATCCTCGCTAAAAATTCTACTTATACGGTATTTTAAATACACCACTCTTTATGGCTTGAGGAAGAGGCCTATATTTATTTTGAGGCCAAAGGCCAAGGTGGTAAATTAATAAATTCCCTGTGTATTTATGTGTACAATTTTTATCTCTATGTGATATTTGAGCCTATGCAATCAAATTTTATTTACAACGTAACCCCCTGCGACCCCATCTGGTCTTCTGTAAGTCCCCTTTCCCTTCGACCCCAATATGTATATTGTAACAGAATTTGTAGAATGTTTGACATGAACTGTGTGGAAGATGAGATCCACTCACTGATTGAATGTCCATTATATAAACATGCTAGAGATGACTTTTTTAAAGATTATTGCTAAAAGTAATAAAAATTTCTCTACGTTAACAAATAAAGAAAAATTTTACGGATTATGTCTAACGAAAATGACGTAGCTTATCAAGCTGGGTAATTTTTTAATCAATATCTTAAAAATAAGAAATAGCGAATTATGCAATGTTAAAAAAAGAAGCAAATAAATGCAAAAGAGTAATAATGTTTATACTCTAGTAAAAAAGCCTTATATGTATAGTATGTCATGGTATGTCGATTAAATATGTTGTTGTCCCCAACTGCTGTATCATCATTAATCTTTTGTTAGTTGCTACTATCAATTTGGAATTTCTTCTTGAATGTTTTTCTCTTCACTTGTATGCCCTGATTGGCCCCAAATTGGTATTAATAAATCATATCTTGCTGACACTTTTGATTTATTTTGGTTTGTTTATTAGTTAACGTCCCTCTCGAGAATTTTTCACTTACATGGTTACTCTATCAGTTGCCAGTGGAGAGCTGCAAATTTTGTCCTATATTCGACACTCAGGACCACTGAGCATTGAGGGATCTTTTTCGTGTCAGCACCTACTGCGACATGGGACCTCGGTTTATACGGTCTCATGCAAAGGATCGGTATCCGTGTCCCACAGTGGGATTCGACCCTCGACGTCGGGATCAACTCCTTACCTTGCGAATCTAGAGCAGATGGTCTAACCACTGCATCACACGGGGGACTGGCCTCTATTTTAATGAGCGGAATGAACACCATTTCTCCAGATGTTAGAACTGGAGAAGGTTGATGAAGATCAGTCAAATAGATGCAGAGTAGTCCGTATATTCTCATTCATCCTTTTATAAGTTAAACCACAAATTTAATCAGAATGTTGAAAGAAGAAACTAGATAGTTGTTACCTATCCATTCTTGGTTGACATTATTAGCCCTTACGAAATATTTACAAATTTTTATTTTAAAAACCATTTTAATCAGGCTAGATTTATTTAACAGTATCTTTTATTACCCTTTCTATTTATTCAGAGGGACATTCTTATCAATCGATTAACAGAAACATCAGTTGTAGTAAGTACTTTGATCTCCGGGTCTTGTAAAAATGCCTTATTTACAACAGTCAAACCTAAAAGTGAGACTTTCATTCGAAATCTAAATTTGTTGCCCATAATTAATAAGACCACGTCATGATTTTCTCTATAATGGATTAAATAGCTGATGTTTGAAGAATATCTAACATATTAAAGTCTTTCTTTTTATTTGATATCCTACTGCAGTTGATCATTTACGAGAAAGTAGGTGATTATTATTTATTATTCCTAGAGTAGATGAGTATTGATTATTTTCGGGCTCTCGTTGCACTATAAAGCCTTTTTGTAACCGGTATATTCTCAGTCCAAGATTTATCATTGTTTGATTTACATGTATCGGAGACTATCCTTTCCCTCATTATGGAATACCAAATGAGGAAACTTCTGTAACTACAGGTAAGAAAAAAAAATCACAGATTATTTTGTTCAACTGGCATACATATAGATGTGCTATCATACATTTGTAATTATTTAAAGATAGTTACAATACCTTTATTTAGGAATTCAATTTATATTGTATATGCAAAGGTTGGAAAAAATGATAAGTCAAAGATCGTGTGTCTGACCTCTGTTTTGTGCTTTTGAAAAGTAAACAATTAAATTCAATTTAAATTAAATCTTAATGTTCAACCTTCCAAATACTGAAATCTTAATGTTCAACCTACCAAATACTGAATTCAGTATTTTATCTCATTACACAGGAAAATCTTTCCTATTAAAGTTATAAGCGTGAAAATATTTTTTTCCAGCATAAAATTTGAATAAAAATTTTATCAATTTTATGCTTATATTTTTTAAAAACAATTTTCAATTAAAAGTTTCTTTAAATCAATTTATCCGAAAGCGGAATGAAGTTGACTTCAGCGAACTAATTTGTATTACTGGCTAAAAGAAAAGATTTATTATTATATTAGACACATCAACGAAAAATTTCAAAGAAGTCAATGATCTTTTTGAAATAGATACTGAAAGGGTCTAAAGAAGACCTCTGCGTGCTTTGAATATACCAAAGCTAATTATTTTTTACGACCACCGAACAAGCAACTGAAAATCTGGAAAGTCATTAATTTTCACAGCATAGATACCGAATGATATTAGCCCTCAAGTCTTCAGATGCAAATATACATCTCATATAAGGGGGGGGGGGGAGAATTAATTAGAATTCATATTGAATATTTTCCTGTAAAGAAAAAATGAAAATATTAGTTTATTTGTAAATTAATTTAGGAATATATATGTGATCTAAAAAAAATTTCGTGAATCTTGCAAAATGGGGAATTATGCAATTAAATTTGCGAAATACGATGGTTGATGCAAAAGTTCGTGGAAATTTTTTATATTTTATTTATATATAAGTGAAATTGGTTGAAAATTACAAATGAGAATATAGACACTTGTTGAATATTTAAAATTAAAAAAATATTTTAAATATTTAAGATAGTATCTCTATGGCAGTTGCCATAGAAACGGATGTTTGGAAATGCGGGGGAGACATCGACGCGTTTATTATCATTTTAATTCTTAATACGTGAAATAAGTATAAAACCGCCCTTTGTGTTCTAGAAAACAAAAATTATGTCGTTATTACGATCGCTTGATCTTTTATAAACCTTTGTGTGTGAATTTTACTGATCTTAACAGATATATGTATTTTGTTTATTACTTGATAATTTATTGTTCATCTTAAGCTTGTTGGACGACGTCCAATTTCGGTGAAGTCATACGTTTTGTGAAAATCCCGGGATCACTCTATCTTAAATGCGTATGTTATTCGCATAAACTTGGGAAAATGCATTTAGTTACTGGTTTTCCAGTGGCGTAAGAAATTGAAGAAAAATATAACTTCAATGAATGTTGATTAAAGGTGTGGCTGCCTTTTGGGGGCTCTGTTTTAAGTGTTTATCCCCCTAGACAAATTAAAAGCGTTAATAGACGTTGTCGGCTGTTCTTGACATTGCTACTGAAATCGGACCAACATATGGAAAGATGGGGGTATTCTGAAATATGAGTTAAAAATGAAGATAAGTTGGTGCGAGAGGATACCCAGGCTTTTCTTGAGAAAAAAATGGAAAAAAGGGCACCATTTTGTAGAACTACGTGTTTGAATTGGACATTAGGGTGAGATGCTTCTATTTAACGTGACGTGACATACCTAACTTGACGTTACTTCGAAGTCTCCCCCGAGTTTCACAACTATCCATTTTCAGAAAGCTCGTGTGACCTTATTGGTAATTGGAACGTGGTGAAATTTTCCAGTATTGTTGCATTATGACTCTATTTTATGAATATGTCTATTGTTTGCTTTTATCAAATCACGATAAAATTTTAGAAAGAAATTCCACGAACTTTTGGATCAACCTCGTAAAATAAACGTTTTACAAAAAGGAACCTTAAGTTTTTAAATAAGGATTTTTAATAAGCATTGGCTGAAAGCGACAGGTCTTAACAAAACAACACAAATGCCTCAACCTAATTTTTTGGAAATTTGAATTATTTTTGTTTATTGTTTAACGTCTCTCTCTCTCTCGAAAATTGTCACTCATACGGAGATGCCTCCATTTGCCGGTTCTAAAGATGGATGCTATATGCGTTTCATATATGGTTGTACTTAGCTGAAGAGCCAAATAACTTAAATTCAGCTATCATATGCATAGGGTGTCACGGCGAATCTGCCCGGTTTGTTATTCCACTTAAGTTCCTAATCTCCCACCTCTGGAATATACGGAGGTTCGTACTTTACACCCTATTTACAGAGCTGTATTGTTGTCCCCCGCTTGAAAAGTGGGGGATATTAATTTGGGTCTGTCCGTCATTCTGTCTGTCTGTAACGCTTTCGTTTCCACACGATATCTCGAGAACCCTTTGAGTTTTCACAATGAAATTTTGCATTGCAACTCCCTATGGACTAAAGAAGAACCCTATTGATTTTGAAGTCCAAAGGTCAAGGTCATAAATTCGCAAATTCTGTCTGTTATAACACTTTCTTTTCCGCGCGATATCTCGAGAACCCTTTGAGCTTTTGCAGTGAAATTTTACATAACTCCCTATGGCCCAAGGAAGACCCCTATGTATTCTGAGGTCGAAAGGTCAAAGTTCAAGGTCGTAAATTTATACATTATGTCTGTGTGTAACACTATCCTTTCCGGGCGATATTTCAAGAGAATTTTGAGCTTTTGCAATGTAATTTTATACCAAAACTCCCTAGGACCTCTCTCACCCCTCTCAAAGTGTCCCGCTCCGTTTGTTTTATTAGTATTTATTGTATTACATGTCGCTATTTTTAGCACAGGGGCATGCGGATAATTATTATGTATAAAACAGGTTCTCGGCGGACTTTATATTCTTATTACATTAGAACTATTTAATAAAGGTTACATTAGACACTATGCATTGTGTAAAATTTTGACAATATCGAACGTGAATATATAAATACATGTATGTGACTTCATGTTTGTATATAATTTTCGCCATTGTAAAGTATTTCCGTGGTCTAGTGGTATGTCAGAAAAAAAAATTAAAAAGGGAGAAAAAATGTCTCCCGCCTCATATGTGAGAGGTCCCGTGTTCGAATCCCGGACGATCCACTTTCTTTTTTTTTCGAAAAACTTTTTTTTTTTGATAAATGATAGTATTCAGCATGTGAAATGAAATATAAATTTATGAGGTCTGGCTTATACAAATCATCATTAAATCATCATTATATTATTCCGTATAAAAAGAATCTTCTATGCAATTAATAAAGAATAGCAATCAAATCTTTATACGCATATTGACATACATGTATTTTATTTGCTTCAGTATACATGTATACATTTAATAATTCTACAAATTCAGTCAGGGAGATCCGACTTTTTCCTCTAAGCGGGGGACACGAATTCTCTGAATTAGCTTGTTTATAGATTTTTCGAAATTGACTACTGTTCGTTTTCTTTGCCTTTTTTTGTTCTTTTATTCAAACCTTTTTTTCTTATGAATATTTTATTCCCCTGCTGACCCTTTCTTCACTAGGGTTATCTTTGATCTATCATATATCTTTTATTTATAGGGTAGTATTGTTCGTCTTGCTTTAATCTTTTTAGAAGGTCCTGTCCAACTTACGCGAATAAGAATGCAAAGATCATTATACCCCAGCTTGAAAAGCGGGAGGGTATATAGTAATCAGTATGTTCGTCCGTACGTCCGTCTAGCTGTACTTCCGTCCGTCCGTCTGCCTGTTACGCTTTGGGGTACCAATCTCTTATCCGCAACTCCTCTCATACCACTGAATGAAATTTGATAAAACTTTCACAGAATCTTTATTACATATTGCCATTGTGCACCTCCTATTTTACTTTTTGATCGGACACATATTTTGGGTTTCCCATAGCAAAACATGGACACTGCTTTTTTGCACATATGGGGGGTATCATTTAGTGACCTTATTGCTCACAGTGCCTCTAGTTTATATAAACACTGGGTTATGCTGATTTATGAATATTCAACTAGGTAATGGGAGTGCATTTCTAAATGAAATCTACCACATTCTGCAAGCACCCTTCTGAATGTACCTTTCAAAATGAAAAAATAATAAGGAAATCATTATCATTTATCATTATCTCATTTATTATCATTTATAAATCAAAACATTTTTACCATTCGCTGTCTTTCTGTCACCGCTTCAGTAAATGATTAAATTTATTGACAAATGAATAATTTTATTACACATGTACTTTAAACTATCCGATCATAGAAAGAAAATTACTAGCAAAATCTATAATGATTTTTTTCCCCTGATAAAACCAATTCTGTCTAGTAGTTAAATGTCTTCATATAAGAAATAAAATTTAAAAAAAAAATAATTAAATGACTGAGAAACCTGTCCAATTTGTTAAAGACAGAAGCAGTTAGGCATTTGAAGATCAGTGAGAAATTTCATGCTTGTTAAGAGGAATCTGAAAGACGATCATCATTTGTCTGTAAAGGTGATCATTAAATGAGACCATTTCTCTTCATGCTGTAATTCTTGATAATGCCTCCTAGCTCCATCAAAGGAAATCGGAGAGACAGATGTAGTTGTCCTATGGTCACTATCGCTATTTATTCATTGAACTTGATTAGAAGGGTTCCTTTTTTTCTCCCATTAAGGCCAAATGATGGTTTCTTCATGTGATGCTTTTATTCAAATCATGTGACAAGAAATCAATTTAATAAAAGATAAGGAAAGCGGGAAAGATTTTTTTCCTTACAAAGGAAAACGAACAAGATGAACATGTTCCAATGAATTTTGAAGTAAAAACTCCACAAAGTGGAGAATTTAATGAACAAGATGTACAGTTGTACATATTTAAGGTTAGTGGACATGCAGATTAATTAAATCAGAGGTTAAGTTAAAATAGGAAATAAATTGCTTCACTCAT